ATTTTAAAAGAAAGAACTAGTTGATAGCGTCACGGAAAAAAATTCTGCAGGCTTGGGCACGTCATGTATAGATGAAACGTGAGTATGTTCTGCATCACAAAATAGGGATGTCAAGAGAGACAGGAGTAGAACACAAGAGATTAATTTAGATAGTTTTTAGCATCACTGAGAAAAAAAGTTGCATTCTTGGAAACGTCATATAAAGATGAAACGTGAGTATGTTTTGCAACATGAAATAGGGATATCAAGAGATACAGGAGTAGATTAAAACTTACTATTTTCGACAGTTTGGCCTCATTTCATAAACGATTGACATTACACAGTCCGCAGAATGACCCTGTGGCTTAATGGCCAGTTAGGACTTTTCATAATTTTTGACTTAACAAGATCCAACCTATAATGTAGCCGACCTAGACATCCCCTGCCTTTTCCCTATCAGACAGATAATACTAGTATGACCGTTTACTTGTTGCATTGAAAGAATATTTATTGATCTGTGCTTGATACCATCTTCACTGGGCAACGGATAGAGTTGGAAGAGGAGAAGACAAGAAAATGGAGAGAGAAGAAGACATAGAAAGAATAGATCATTACGGTTTGTTGATAATCGTGCTGCGAGGTGGTACAGAGGTATTCACAGACGCTCAAAACTCATATGGAAAAGCGAGACGGATATACAGTTAGACCTTTTCTCAAGTCGGAATTGGAACTCTATGTTTGCTGCTGAAGATGGGGACGAAGCGCTTATGTTAGTGTCACGAGTGCTGTGATGTCAATTCTTGATTAAGCATTCATCATCCGACGTATTACATTCCCATTAGTGATCATTCCCCATCTTAAGCAGCAAGTGCAGAGTTCTAATTCGGATCGTACCAGTAACAATATAATTGTATATCCCTCTCACAAAACATATTCATTAATATTAATGAGATGGATTAACCGGATTGGTTATAAAATAACTGCTTTGTTTTGTTAAAAAAAACTAAACAATCATTACTATGATTTTAATTTGTTACACAACATTGAGAAAGGTACAACAAAGCTAATCAAAATGTTTCCCTCTCACTCTCTTTGTCTCTTTTTCTCGCACTTTTCCTCTCTCTCTCTCTCTCTCTCTCTCTCTCTCTCTCTCTCTCTCTCTCTCTCTCTCTCTCTCTCTCTCTCTCTCCCTCTCTCTCTCCCCCTCTCTCCCTCTCTTTCTTTCTCCTTCTTTCTCTCTATTTATGTATGCGTGGATATGTTTCAGTGTGTGAATGTATGGGTGTGTGTGTTTGTGTGTGCGTTTGTGTGTATGTGTGAGCGAAAAAATGTGTGAGCGTGCGTGTATGTATGCATAGGGAAGAGGCATGCTCGAATATGTATGTATGTATAAATGCATAAGTGTATTTGTGCGTGCTGGTGTTGTTTTTGGTGTGTATATACATGTGTATGCACGAGCATGAGTGCATTATGTGTATGTATGACTGTGAGTATGAGTGTGAGGTGCATGTATGTGTGTGTGATTGTGTATATAAGAACGGTTGTGTGTGTATAGATGTGTGTGCATGCTAGTATATTATGAGGCTGGGTCTACGTATGTGTTTGTATGAGTGAGGGTGCATGTATGTGTGTGTGTGTGTGTGATTGTGTATATAAGAACGGATGTGTGTGTGTATAGATGTTTGTGCATGTGTGTATATTATGAGGCTGGGTCTACGTATGTGTTTGTATGAGTGAGGGTGCATGTATGTGTGTGTGTGTGTGATTGTGTATATAAGAACGGATGTGTGTGTGTATAGATGTTTGTGCATGTGTGTATATTATGAGGCTGGGTCTACGTATGTGTTTGTATGAGTGAGGTGCATGTATGTGTGTGTGTGTGTGTGATTGTGTATATAAGAATGGATGTGTGTGTGTATAGATGTGTGTGTATGCTAGTATATTATGAGGCTGGATCTACGTATGTGTTTGTATGGGTGAGGTGCATGTATGTGTGTGTGATTGTGTATTTAAGAACGGATGTGTGTGTATAGATGTGTGTGCATGCTAGTATATTATGCGGCTGGGTCTACGTATGTGTTTGTATGAGTGAGGGTACATGTATATGTGTGTGTGTGTGATTGTGTATATAAGAACGGATGTGTGTGTATAGATGTGTGTGCATGCTAGTACATTATGCGGCTGGGTCTACGTATGTGTTTGTATGAGTGAGGGTACATGTACATGTATGCGTTTTCGCTTTTGACGAGATGTTTACGACATGCTTGTTGGGAAGCCGTGGGTCTAGTATAGTTTATACAGCGGACCAACATCATGGCACAAAATCAGTGCTCCGTTCCACTTTTAACTCAAGCCTGCTTTCGAAACATCGCAGCACAGTGCACGAACTTCGTAGCACCGGCGAGGAACCTTAAATACCTTGGGTAGATTTTCAACTCGAAATGTTGCCTGGGCAGCGCCGTTAGGCTACTTTTTTTATTTTCAAATGTCAATGGATTTGTTTACGTGCGCAACAATACATACGGGTGTCCCATCCTACTACCCAGAGACCAGGGGAGATTTCTAGAAGTTCACGGGGAAAAAAGCCCAGCCTTCACCAGGGCCGGAACCCGGGATCTTCAGAACTCTAGGCGGACGCAAGCCTCGAGACCACTTAGCCCCCCCCCCCCCCCACCCCCCAGTGGGTCTAATCTTGTTTTTATTCACAGTGGGTTTCCAGAAGCCACACGGCGAGCTCCGAATCTTGTCATTTGGTCATATAAAATGTCATTTTCTTTTTATTATTTTTTTTTACTTTTTATAATTCGTAGCCCTGATCAACATAACAGTGATCGAGGGCCTTGTTCCCCACAAGAGGACGCAGGGGAAGTTCGACATGACGCCGCGCACAGGGCAGTAAGGACATTCTGGGCAAAAATAAATGCAGGGGCGCTGAAAAATGATGGAAAATCTGTCCAGTGGGTTGTGTGAAAGATATTTCCGCTAGGGGCTCTCTCACATGATGATTTAGTGTTTACACGAGCACTGCAACTACTAAGGCTGCTGCTGCTGTTGCTGCTGCTGCTACTACTGCTACTATACTGCCGCTCCTACCGCTGCTGCAGCTACTGTTACTACAACGAATTATGCTACTAATATTTCTTTTAATTCTACTTTTACTGGGAGAGGCGTAGCGGGTAGACGCTCGCCAATGGATCATAAGGTCGTGGGTTTGCTCCCTGGCGGAGCCGGACTTATTTCAGAAATGACCTTGGCTCCTACCCCTAAATGGGTACCAGATGCAGTCATGGGAAGTAAAGGCAGCCGGCGTGATGCTAACCACATCACCCGTCTTATGCCGTTGGTCTATAAAATATATGTCAAGCCCTTTAAACCCAATACACCTTTTACTTTTTACTACTATTATTAATACTACTACTACAACTCATAATGCTACCACTATAACTGCTACCACCATTACTACAACTTCCATAGGTATTCTTACTTTTACTTTTACTATTACCATTCTAAAAATAATTACTACTAATACTGCTACTGATATTACAATTAAAACGACTACTTTACGACTCCTGTTACGAATAATGTAACTATTAGAACATCTATTACTTCCATAATTATTACTATTGTTATTATAACTACTGCTATTTTACAACTAATACCAAAAATAACTTCAACTATTGCTGTTACTCCAGCTAGTACGAGGTGTTGTAGCTTTGCTGTTGTTGTTGCTACTTTCTGCTACAAATATTGACTTGCAACACTTCCTACGAGTCATTGTTCTAATACTGTCATCAGACAGTCATATCCACGCAAAAAACTTACCTATGGAATACATTGTTATCAACACCCCCCCCCCTCCCAATCCTCCCCTCCCCACGCCCGCTGAATTGTAATTGCAGTGTGAAAGATGTGAGTTTGATGAGGCCGAATTCAAGACGGGCCTGCGTGCTCAGTTTGTGACGCTTAGAAAATTTTATTCTTTTATTTTTTTTTAAGAAACGTGTTTTATCAGTAGACCCCCATTGAACCATACATATAAAGTATATTGATTTGCCACATTGTCCTTTGCCCAGCTACAGAGCCGATTGCATGGAGCGACACTGTGAGCTTTGGATTACGCTTGGAATGCGTTCCGACTGTGCCCTATGTAGTTTGTGGTGTGAACTGTAGATTTAGCAAGTCGCCTTGTGCAATAGAACTTGTGGTGCCCTATGCGATTTACCGGGTGTGCAGCCAATATTATGTTGTAACTGCTTTTTCCATCGATGATGCACTGCATTTCTTTTGTCGGACAGTTTGTGTTGGCACTTCTGTCGGCTGCCTTATGCTCTACTATTGACTTTGCTGAGATTGCAGTCTATGCCAATTTACCATAAGGTACATTAATGGACGTTATGTATGATTTTTGTTAGCACAGAAACGGAACAACTATGGGGTGACCCATTGGCTATGAAGGTGGATCTTCAATTAACTGATTAACCAGCTGGTTAATCACACATCCCACACAGAAAACTTACATACAGAATACAGTGTCTGACCACACATCCCATACTGACAACTCACATAAAGAATATAGCATGTTAACGAAACACCGAGATCGAGTGAAAAATGAAACTATCAGGCAAACTTTGGGAAAGACACCTTGTACTAGATTCATCGAGAAACAGCAGATCAAGTGGTTTGGTCATCTCGTTAGAATGCAGCAAAATCAAATACCATCACAAGCACTACATCTCAGTAGATCAGCTACAAGAGCAAGAGGATGGCCACAGAAATATGGATCGACAACATTGAAGACACTCTACGCCTTCACGGCATGACAATAGCCAGTGGCAGCCAATGTGCACTGGATCGCAAATTATTCATCCCCACGACGCCTAACCGCAGAAGTGATTTATGATGATGAACGACACACCTCTCACGGACACTTAAGTATAGAAAACTACATTTGACTACTGATACCAAACAGAAAACTTACCTACACAATACAGTTTATGACCACACATTCTACACAAACTTACCTATAGAATAAAGCGTCTTATCGACACATCCCTCACAGAAAACCTCAGCCACTGTGAAAATATTATACGGTGTCCAAGTCACAATAAATGCCAGTAAAATTGCTGTGAGGGTTTTAGCAGCTTTTTGGTCCTGTCTTCGCTCTTGGCGTCTGGACTGAATCTTGGCCTGACTCTGTTGTTCGGCCTTTCGTACCCGTGTTGCAGCTTTAGCAGCAATCTTAGCCTGCATGGCCACCTTGTTAGAATCGTGACTGTGCGCCCGGCGGGCTAATGCCGGAGTTCCTGTCCGCGGGCGAATAGGGGGAGGATGAGAGATTCTTTCCGGAAGACATCTCGATGCCACGTCATCTTCATCAGTATCGCTTTCAATCCTCTGTACAAGAGCAGGATTAAGCTCACTGAATCTATCCATATCTTCTGGTTCTGCTCTGGAAGTTACTTTGTGGTTCGAGTCTTCAGCGTCACTAGGAAGAAGAATCAAGACCCGATACATTGCAGCCTCATCATCTTCATCGTCTTCATCTTCGCTGTCATGTTGGTTTGTATAGTTGTTCTCATGTAAAGACTGACTGGAGTCAAGGGAGTTAGCATCCTCTTGGATTGCTTCTGCCACAGGGTCAGAAAAGGAAGTCGTTAGCATACCCGAATGTCCTCGATATGAGCTGTTATAAAGCGAAGGGACCAAGTGTTCGGAGGTAAATGTTGTCGTATTGCCCTGATCACGGTACACTGAACACGGTGAGATCGGAGACTCGATTGGCAGAAGCGGTATTAACGATGTGCTAAAGTTAATTCGCACGCAGCGAGGATTTGGCGAGGAACTTTCGTGAACGCTCGTAGATGAGTTCTCAGAATCTTGTCGAGGCAAACTGTTTCCGTTATTTATTTCTGAGGTACACAGCACGGGAATTGTTGCATGGGAATGGGTGTTTGATGTTGTTGGCGAACCTGGGGGTTCACTGGAACTGGAATCTTCTAGATAATCTGAGTCGCGGTCTATTTTCAAACATCCAAGTAACTTACTTTTGACAGAAGATGGTTCTGTAGAATTAGTTCCATTGCTATGAACCATCATGTTATTACCTCTCTCACTGACACACGAGTTTGCTTCTTCGTCACTGGACGTTACATATTTTCTGCTCGAATGATGTCTCATCTGGGGATCTTTAATCTTCTTCGATTTGTGCATGCCCTGCAACTTGGGCAAATCTTTTTGGCGTTTTTGTGTTTCCATATAAATTTTGAAGTATAATACTGACATGATGATTACCGGAATGAAGAACGCAAACATTGCAGTTATAATTGTTATATACTGGTTGGTCTTCAGAAACTGGATGTAACAGTCAGTTTCTGGTACATTCCTCTGGCCCTCTATATAAGGCCACGCAAAAATCCACGGGGTCCAAATCACTGAGGAGATAACCCAAGCGCATCCAATCATTGTACCGGCCCTTTTTGGTGTTCTTTTGGCTCGGTAAGTTAATGGCCGTGTGACGCTCAAATATCGATCAAAGCTAATGATGATTAGGTTGGCAACAGATGCATTACTCATGGTATAATCTAGAGACAACCAAATATCACACATAAGCGCTTTCAGAGGCCAGTACCCCATCAGTAAGTATACAGTGTACAGTGGCATAGACACGATACCTATAGTCAAATCGGCTACGGCTAAACTCAACAGAAAATAATTGCTAACAGTTTGGAGATTCTTGTCCAGTTTGAAAGCCACAATCACCATGAGGTTACCCCCTGCCGTTAATACTGATAACAAACTAACCACAATGGCAATTATGACAATTTCTGCAGTGGTCTTATCTAAACCAATAATTTCGTGTGTAGAATTTCTTGTTGAGCAGTCGTTGAGGTGACCCCATGCTGTGCTTGTGATAAATGTGTCAAGTCCAGATTGGGTTGTTTCGGACAGGCCTTGCAGAGTTTGGACCGGAGCAGGTGGAGTAAGGTTATATTCCCGAAACGCTGCTTGAGTCGAATTGGAGACCGGAAACGTGGCGTGGAAGAAGTCACTGAAGGAAACAGAAGCGTTAGTGTCGTGGGACGATTGAAATGCCTGAAAGGTTTTGGAGAGATTTTGAAGGAGTGAGCTCAGCGTTTCGGCCAAGTTGTTTTCAGTAGGAAAGCCAGCGTGAGGAAGCTTTCCTGATACAACGTCACCCGAGTTGCTAAAGGGATGCGATATATTAATGGCTTGATCAGTTTTCGCAGAGACAACGGGTGGTCCACCAGACTCAGCAGGATCCAGATGCAGCAGATGTCTGCCTTGATTTATCTCTGTTCTGTGTCTAGATACGCCATCTAGGCCTGTAAGTCTGGCGATTGCTGATAACGCCATTGTAATCATATAATCTGCCTCCTCTGGGAGACCTTCATTGTAATCCGTTAATCTGCCCCATATGGGAGAATGTTATTTGTTAAATATACTATTATAGATATGAGAGATAATTATACTTTAAATAGACTATCACACCTGTATGAGATTCTCAGGCCTCAAATATACTAGGGCAGCTATGAGACGTTATCATGTTATAAATATACTATCACAGATCTGGGAGATTATCATGAGCTGTTATTGCAGCTGTTGGAGATTCTCAGGCCTTAAATTTATATTATCATGCCTTAAATATGAGAGCGCAGCTATGATATGTTACCATGTTATAAATATACTATCACAGATCTGGGAGATTGTCCTGAGCTTTTATCGCAGCCGTTGGGGAATGCCCTGAAATAAATAATACTATAACATCTGTAGATGAATCTCATGTGTTAAATATACTGTCACAGATGTAAAATATTTTTATGTGTTGAATATCCCCTTTAAGTTATAAAAGATTGTAATAAGTTTAATATAACTACCAAAACTGTGATAGGGGTTAAATATACCTTCACATGGATATAATATCACAGTTGTGGGGACTGACTTTGGTTAAATATACCTTCACATGGATATAATATCACAGTTGTGGGGACTGACTTTGGTTAAATATACTAGCACTGCTGGTAAGGGATTGTCATAAATTAAATAAACGGTCTTGAAAGATTTTTATACGTTAAGCATACCAACACTGCTTGCTTTCTTGGTCTCAGATGTAAAATAAGTATATGCCATGTGGAAACGCCACTGAAGCAAAACATTAGTTATGAAGACTAGCAAACGAGCTCGGCGTTACGGGACTGACCAGCAAATTGTTACAGACACCAGTTAATAACTGTTGGGATGGCTCTCAGTAGCTGATAGTTCATGAACACATCAGGAGTTGCTAGCATGATTTCAGACTTTAATAATGTATCTAGTCGTTCTGCAGGGACGTTCTCGTTCTGTGTAGCGTAGATTGACACAACTCTAAGCTTCAGTGCCGTCGATGTTGGCCAGAAGACATCCTTTCATCTGTGGACGCATAAAGAGTAATTGATAAAACAATAATACAACGCATGAACACGTGAAAACATGCTGTCTAATCTCCACCAGGTTAATAACGCCTGAGTTATGGAGGGTTTATTATTAATTGCTATTATTACAGGAGACACACAACAATGCACACATCATCATCATCATCACCATCATCATCATCATCATATAGCAGATTCTTTGCAGAACGTCGTTCTCATCACAGTCGGCCTGAAAGAAACTCGGTCTCTCGCCAGTTCGCCCGCCTCATGTACTTCTATACTCAAGGAATCACTTATATCCTGTGCCCATCTTAGAATCGGTCGGCATCTGCCCCTCCTTCCTGGTACAATGCCCTTTGCTATTTTTTTCCCCAATCCGTCGTGGTGCTTGATATGACCAAAATAATTCAGCTTCCACACACAACAACACAGTTTAAAAACTGTTTTTGTCACGTTAACTGTAGCTTTAGATTCTTTAATGTTATGTAGTGCGTCCTTCTATCTTTTTTCTTATTTCTATAAGCGCCGATCAACACAATATATGTTTGTTAAAATTAATGTTTTATATATATTGAAAAAAATATATATATATGTATATATACATGTGTGTGTGTATGTATGTATGTATATATATATATATATATATATATATATATATATATATATATATATATATATATATATATATGTATATATGTGTGTATACATATATAAATATGGGTGCGTGTTTGTGTGGGTTTTTCTACTGCCTCAAGTGTCTCCTTTCTGTTTGTTTATATAAAAAGTAGATCTAGCCCTATGTACCCTATTTACTTTAGAAGGATTTTACAAAGGGAACAAGATGAGATCAGATAAAGGTGACGTGATGGACATGGCATTTACTCATGAGCAGCCAGATGTACCAGTCACATACCACCAAAAGAAAAGAATCATTAAATCGATCAGGAAACCACCAGCCCCAGCACAAGACGACTATTTTATTATGGACAGACCAGAACAAGTCATTATCTTCCGCCTCAGAACAGGGCACAACCGATTACGTAACCACATGTACACAAAATTCAAGATAGGTGTATCAGCCATGTGCACCTGTGGAAATGTGCCCCAGACCGCAGAGCATGTACTCCAGGACTGCACCGATTTTGACACATTAAGGCAAACCTTTTGGCCAGAAAGAACAACAGTGGAACGTAAACTCTATGGACCACTGAATGAACTAACAACGACAGTGAAATTTATACAAGAGACAAAACTGCTGATATAGATAACTTATTTCAGGCGAACGAAAGAAGAAGAAGGAGAATCATGTGTATGTGTGCGCGCGGGCGCTTAGTGTCATTAATTAAGGAGCGCACTTTAACCGGCCATAAAAACCAATATCAAGCCAAACGTTACCTATTATTCTTATGGTCGGGAACTTGAAAACAACAATATCTCCTCAAGACCAGAAAGAATCAGAAAAGACCGTTGGGTGAGAAACTAATGATCCGTGAAATTTAACATGTTCAACAAACGCTGCACTAGACGTAAAGAAAAGAAAACAGAGCCGACATAAAACGGTTTTCAGAACAATTTCCCTCTAAAGGCAGCAACAAGATAGTTCAATTTCCGCTATTTAAAATTATACTTTGTGCAAGAAAGTGTCATGCTGAATATAATCATTTTACAGGTTTCTTTCTCTTTTTTTTTGCTTTGAAAATGTTCAAACCTTGAGTTTCCTTTTAAAAGATAGGTTAAAACGATAATTGCACTATAACGATTGTTGCCATATTTGGACTTCGCTGATATTTCTTGTCTGTCCCACTCACGGAAACAAGTTTCCATGTGCAACGATGCTTGGTAATTATTTTGTTAGCCTGTCCTGCATGCAAGGAAAAATTGCGTTCATCTTACCCACAGGAGGGTAATGCTGATGACTGCCTGAGAGTAAAACCTACGAAACGAGTGTAATTATGTTTGAGAAGTTCCCCTTACTCAATTAACTATAAGCATGTTCACAAAATGAAAACTAGATGTTTAGATACAATAGCCACCATTCCTACAAGGACATGATTATTAAGAGGTTGTGTGCCAAATGTCAACAACTTAAGCCGAAAGGTTACTGGGTGTTGCAGATTTTTAAAGTTGGGCTCAACTTCTGAGACAGACTAAAAGTATCCTTACTCATCAAAGAAAGAGGAGTTAGCACACAGCTTCCAAAAAATCGACACATCCCTCACAGAAAACCTCAGCCACTGTGAAAATTTTTATACCGTGTCCAAGTTACAATAAATGCTAGTAAAATTGCTGTAAGGGTCTTAGCAGCTTTTTGGTCCTGCCTTCGCTCTTAACGTCTGGACTGAATCTTGGCCTGACTCTGTGATCTACTGATCGTGCTGGATTGTGAAGCATGCCTGTCTTAAACGTATTCCTGCTGTGCAGGCATGTGGCAGGTTGTAGGCTACTGACAGACAATCTATCACCATGACAAACTAAGCCAAACAGTTACAGAGCAAACACTTCAATCTTTTATGTACAGAACAATAAACAACAGGTAGTTAACCCTAGAAACGATGGACCTCCACTATCCTAAACAATGCCGTGAGGACTTTAAAATCGCCGATCACTCTCAGGCCACCATCCTGTTCTACAGATAATACGTGGGTCGAACCCACCCTTGTTTCCGATACAATCTCTTGCCTCTGCCACTGGACACCACACCAGGATGGCGACGCCTCTGGGTTAGTTCCACTTTAGTTCCCAATCTACACTCGACGATAAGTGATCATACCCGCTGCTCTGACTTTTTCCGATGCTATTTCTTTATACCTACTTAGTCTTATTCGACCTAGGTACCAATGTCAATTGTAATAAAAGTCCACTCTAGGGCGTATTTAAACACCATATTTTCAGTCAGGTATTCAAGCGTATATCAACGCAACCGCTTTTAGTGTGTGTGTGTGTGAACAGTTAACCACTTGATATCTTGCAGCCACAGGCGAAGCAACGCGCACGACTCAATAGCTAAAGAAGATTGACGTTACAGTGTGGACTTCCTTCTCCAACTTTCCCTTCAACGCGCCCGGCTCGGAGCTTGTTTGCCGTATCGTCTCACAAAATGCTCTCACTCGGCTCTCGAAAGAAGATGGTACACTAGAGGCAATTTAATGCCAGTGATGCGAAAGACTTGGCATACATCAAGGATTGACTATAACTTCCAGACAGCTAGATATTTCATGCTTGGTCGGCAGTTAGATTGTCCATGTATGAGCAGGGATGTAGAGTAGCTGGAGAGTGCTAACGGAAGGTTGTTGTGTAGCCGGGGATTGTTACATTGTTTATGTTTGTGTTGATGTTGTGTAGTTCAGGCGAATGTTACATTGTTTATGTTTGCGTTGATGTTGTGTAGTCCAGGGATTGTTAAATTGTTTATGTTTGTGTTTATATTGTGTAGCCCAGGGATTGTTATTTTGTTTATATTTACGATGATGTTGTATAGTAGGGGATTGTTATATTGTTCATGTTTGTGTTGATGTTTTGTAAGTCAGCGATTGTTATATTGTTCATATTTATGATGATGTATAGCAGGGGGGTTGTTATATTGTTCATGTCTATGTTGATGTTTTGTTGCCCACAGATTGTTATATTGTTCAGATTTATGAAGATGTTGTAAAGCAGGTGATTGTTATATTGTTTATTTTTTGTGATGAAGTTGTGCAGGCAGGGGATTGTTACACTGTTCATGTTTGTGATCATGTGTAGCGGGGGAGTTTATGATTTTTAATGTTTGTAGTGACGGTGTTGCATAGTTGGGGACCGTTTGATTAGTCACGTTTGTTGTGATGATGTTGTGTAGTTGGGAAATGTAAGATTGTTCGTTTTGAGCAGTTAAGTTCAAAAACAGAAAAAAAAAAAGAAAAAAAAAACAGAATGTAGACAAAGACAAAGCAAATACAAGTAATTACAATGATGTGC